ACAGGCAAAGGGGGAATTTTTCAATAGGTCATTTTAAAGAGAAAAGCTCTGGAGGAAAGATTTCTGCTTGGTGGCAAACTCATCTAACCCTTGCAAAGCCTACAGGAGAGTCTGCAAGAGAGGTAGAGGTTACAGAGCACGAGAACACACACAAACTCTCACATCTTAAAGATATTTTACACATGATTAGGTATCATTTTTCATATGATGCACACATACATTTGAGCAATGATAGGACGAGGGGCAATGGTTTTAAATTAGAAACGGGTAGATTTAGATTGGATATTAGGAAGAAGTTCTTTACCATAAGGGTGGTAAAGCACTGGAACAGTTTGCCCAGAGAGGTGGTGGAGGCCCCGTCCCTGGAGACATTCAAAGTCAGGCTTGACGGGGCTCTGGGCAACCTGATCTAGCTAAAGATGTCCCTGCTTACAGCAGGGGGGTTGGACTAGATGGCCTTTGGGGGTCTCTTCCAGCCCAATGTGTTCTACAGTTCTGTAGTCCTAAAGAGGGACCTTCATGTCAATCTGTCTTGCAAGCAGCTTGGGGCTGGTGGGAGGCAGAAAGGAGCAGATTCTCTCTAACATTCACAGGCCTACTTTTCCATTCCCCACCCCACCCTAGTTTGTTCCCTCACTTCCCCATATTGGTTATGCTGTAAAAATATCTAGCGATCAAGGGGAATAAAGAGTGCATCCTACTCGCAAGAATGGACGCAGAAAACTTTGCCTGCACTATAGGTGTAGGTCAAGCTGCAGAGCACTTCTTTTTCAGCCTCTCTACTGTCACTGTTAGCTCTGATAGTGCAGAATGGATTTCTGTCTCTTCTGTGAGAGAAGACAGCTTTCCTCTTCAACATGGTGCACATTTCTAGAGAGTGAGTCGAGCAGCAAAATATTCAGAAGGTACAGAACCCCTCGCTAACAGATAGCAACCGCTTTATTTAATAGTTCCTCTATTAGAGATACCAAAGTAATACTTCTTGCTATGCAGACAGTGAGTGTTTGCAAGTAATTACAAAATATCACAGTATCCTTTAGGATAAGCTACCATTAAACTACATTTCTGTCTCAGACCCATGTAATTTCTTCCTTTCTCATTTTCAGCCATGCCTATAAGACATCCCTAAAATACTTCCAATCTAATCTTTTATTACTAAATTAACATTAGACCTAGAATTTTCCACTAAGTATAGCGAAACCACACCAATGTTAATCACTTACATGTGGTCGCTAACATAGTAATAGCAGCCACTCTAAAAGATTTCAGTCGCACAGCGCTGCCAGGGCTGAACGTGGCAGGAAAGCGCATGGAGCCATCAAGCACAGGCCTGGGTCGAGACAGAAGCATAAGCAGAGAGCAAACGAGAAAACATGAATTTAAATAACTGAACTGAAACAATTGTCAATTATATGATTTACTTATAGACAGGAAAAACACTCAAACATCTGCCAGAAAAATCAGGGGCTCTTCAGCCTTTGTTTTCCTTTAATGTGTTTTCATGCATTTCCAAGTCCCCTGACTTGATTCCTGCCGCACTGCAGCAGGGCACAAGCAGGGCCGATCATCCCTGAGGATTTGCCTCAGCTCAGGAGAGGCTACGAACAACATCACAGCTTTTTAAGACTCATGTAGGAGACCAAACCGCAAACAGACATTCTGAAATATGTGGACTACCACAAGGTCATTAAACTAAAAACTCAGGTTTTAGTGAACAAAAAAAAGCCTTAGAGGGCTTTTCCTGAATACAATAGAGAGACACATAGAGCAGTCAAGCTGCTTTCCTCAGAGCCACGCCGAGAACTAAGCTTTTTGATATAGTTCATTTCCACAGATGCTGATGCATTAAAAAAAAAAAAAAAAAAAGGAGAGAGATTACATTGCTAGTTCTGTACTGTCTTGCCCAGAAAGAAAAATAAAAAATTAAAAGGCATCACTTTACAATGAGCAGCTTTCCTGTCCAGCACAAACTGCAACTGCTTCTTTATTTTACATGTCATAAATAAAACAATGTTCAGCTTGGTTCCATTAGGCACACAGGCATCACCTGGCAAACACAGGTTTCAGTAGAAGCCCCAGCGAAGGAAACACACTCTCGTTACAGGAAAGGAAATAAAGGTTAAACAGAAGGACAAGCTTTACATTATTAAGGCTCCAAAACCAGTAGAAGAGGTCGTCTGTGGAGGCAATAAAATCTTCATTGTTGGGTTTCTTGTAAGAATATTTTAAATACATGAATTGTTTGAGTGTACTTGATCCTTTCTTAGGGTAGAGGGGAAGACTACTGTGGTGTCTTAAAGTCCTTTCCTGCTCTGTTTTTGCAGACTTAGTCTGCAAAAAAAGGATGTATTAAAACTGTTAAATAATTTTGACTTCTCTGGAGGGCATGACAAATGCATTTCAATGCTTTTATTGCTTCTGTCTACTACTGTGAAATACACAGCAAATAACTTCCACCAAGCTCAGAAGTCTGCTACTCATATTTGAGGAGCACAAGAGAAAAAGGAAGCCTATCATTGGAGGCCTTCAGGTACCACTGCTGTCTACCTGCAACTTACAGGGGAAACTTCATTGCCCTTCTTTTTGATTGCTCCAGCCTCAGTTTGTCTCCCCTCTCTAGGCAAAAGGAAATGACAAAATCAAAAGATGGGTTTTTCTCACTGTTTAAAGGGAGAAGAGAAGCAGGCAGGATATTCCCAGAGTTGAACTCACCTGCTGGCTCAGTCCATAGAAATCTGTTAGCCAGTCCATTGTATTTTGTCACACTTGCCTGTGAAACGCAGACATTTCCCTCATCCCACTTGCCAGCCAGCGTGCAATCCTAGGAGAAAGAAATAGCATGGTAGGAAGATGCTCCTGTCCCCAGAGTAAGGTCAGTCAAACCTTACAGCCGGATCGGGTCCAGTCCCAAACATGCTTCCTGCAGCACCAAACCAGAGAAGACCCTGCAGCCTGCTTTCTGGAGGGGTATGCCCAACTATCGAGCTCTGTGTTGCTTCAGCCAGACTGCCACCGGTACCTGAACTGCCTCCCACCTCTGTGCCATGTTAACAGTCTATTGATGCTTTTCACAGTCTTATTCATTTACCATCTTTCTACCTGGATTGCCACATACATAGAGAGAGGGAGGCACAGGCATTCAGACCTGACAAAAAAGGGTACTGTTACATCTGGTTCACACCAAGAAACAGCAATATCCTATGATAATAGCATTATTACAGCCACTTCACAGACCTGAAAAAGGACCTGTGTGCCTTAACACTTGTCTCTTCCAACTAGGATTGTTAATTTAGTAAGCCTTCCCTCTCCTACAAGCTTTGGCTCAAACGCTGTAAGTTACAGAAAAGCCTGTGTAAGTAATGCCTGCAGTCTTGAAAACCAGCAATTTGTTAATTGAAACATTTTATTCCCAAAGCTCGAATGCCGTCAGTACTCCAACAGATTATGTTGGAAACTGGGCCACCATTATTAACACTTCACAAAAAAACATAAGGCCCTGTACTGGGCAAGTTTGGCCCTGCAGCTTTCTGGACTCCTCCCTATGTTCCCTATGACTACATGTACACTCCACCACCCCTGAGGACGTTTTAGCTCACAGGCCCAGCTACCCTCCCATTCCAGCTCAGGATGAAACCTGGATCTGTACCTTTCCCTCGTGCCAGGGATCCCAGAGGAAGGACACCAGGGCATGCAGGCCAGACAGGAGCTGAGTACCACCCCCATTAGCTCCTGAGGGGAGCAGCCGGTGGAGCAAGACCCCAGCACACATGGGACAGACCTGCTCCACAGCTCTGAGGCACACGGCGTAGACCTCCTTACAGTACAGCTCAAAATGCCAAAGAAAGGGAAAGGAAGCTGCTCTCTGTCAAACTCCCTACCAGGAGAGGCTAGCTGCTGCTGCTGCTGCTACTGAATGTACGTTTTCCTCTACCCACCAGTTCCTACCCCTCCAAAAGAAAACTGCTCAAACTCCTTCTAAAACAGCCACCAACACGTCTTCCTATGCTTACGCAGCTCAGTTACAGGAGCACTTTGCCAACAAGTCAGGAGCACTCCAAACAGCAACCTTGCAGAGATTAAGCTTCCTAACTTTTAAAAGCAATTCAGTCATTCTCAAGCCAACATTTTGCTGTATTTTCTTTCCCAACTGAACAACAAAAAAAGATGTTAAAACAGACAGTTTCCTTCTGTCAGGAAACTAGAAATAAAACAGGTACAGATTCAGTAGCTGAACGGAACTCAGCTCCTGTCATGTTTCAGTATTTCATATCCCTTGATTTCCATCAATACACAAGAGCACACAAAGTAAAATGCTTCATCTTTTCTGGACTGGTGAATGACAGCAAAAAGTACATATGCCCACTACCAACAAGTTATCAGTGCCTTCTTTGAGGTAGTTCACCTATGAAACTTAAAAAAAAAATTAAAAATGCAAATTTCACCATGATACCTTCATTGTTTGATAAGACCTGCCCAAGAACTCTCTCATCTCCAACCCCCAGTTCCCAGATGCAGTGGGAATTCCGCAGTCAGCGTCTCAATCCATGTTCTGAAGCATACCTGTGTTGTGCTTTAACTGCATTAATGTTCACAGTCACAGGTTTTCAGACTTCTTACAGCCATGCCCATGAGCACAAAAAGCACATGGGTACTGTGGGGCCTTTCTGAAGCTTTGACTAGAGAAATGTGTGCTGTTAACCCAGCTCTGACGTACTAGCAGATGGCCTGGCACAACATGACCACAAGCCCTCCTCTCCTGAGGGAGGTAAGTGGTGAGGAATAGCTACCTCTTCACACCAAAAAAATCTCATCTTTCACACCTCACAGGAGGTAATAGCCTTTTTTCCCCTCTCCCCATCTCTTATGACATTCTGACACAGTAACAGATCAGGTTCGTTGCAGTAATGTGCCAGCAGTACTGTCTGTCACAGCCACCACCATCAGCACTTATCAAACATGACCAGGAATCCATCTCTTCTGAAGAAAAACAGTGCATAACAGTCTCTGTGGCGCAAGGGGCCAGCGTGTTCGGCTGTTAACTGAAAGGTTGGTGGTTTGAGCCCACCCAGGGACAGGTTCCCTTTTAAGGGCCAACAGAAACCTCATGAAGTCCAACATGGGGAATTGCCAAGTCCTGCCCCTGAGGAGGAACAACCCCAGGCACCAGTACATGCCAGGGGCGACCCAGCTGGGAAGTAGGTTGGCAGAAAAGGACCTGGGGGTTCAGGCAGATACCAAGTGAATTTAAGCCAGCAACATGCCCTTGCAACAAGGCAGCCAACAGCCTCCTGGGCTGCATTAGGAGCAGCATTGCCAGCAGGTTGAGGATAGTGATCTTCACCCTCTCCTCAGCACTGGTGAGGCCACACCTGGAGCACTGCATCCAGTTCTGGGCTCCCCAGCACAAGAGAGACATGGACATACTGGAGAGTCCAAGGAAGTGCCACAAAGATGACAAAGTGACTGGAGCATCTCTCCCATGAGGAAAGGCTGAGGGAGCTGGGCCTGTTCAGCCTGGAGAACAGAATGCTCAGGGGGGATCTGATCAACGTATATAAATACCTGAAGGGAGGGTGCAAAGAGGCAGATCCAGGCAAAAACCAGGAGTTTCCAGTTGAGTATCAGGAAGCACTTTTTCACTCTGAGGGTGACAGAGGACCAGCAGAGGTTGCCCAGGGAGGTTGTAGAGTCACCCTCCTTGGGGACACTCAGAAGCCATCTGGACATGGTCCTGGCACAACCGCCTCTATGTAGCCCTGCTTGAGCAAGGAGGGTGGACCATATGACCTCCAAAGCCCCCTTCCAACCTCAACCATCCTGTGTTCAGCATACCGGTCAGAGAAAAATCTAAGCGAAAGCACATGTAGGCAGATGTGATCTCTGACCTCTGGCACCCTGAGCATCCAATTAATCTAGAAGTCCAGCTTTGACTTCATACCAAGCTCAGGCACTATCAGTATATAAAGCCCAACTCTTGCTTCCATAGGCATCCTTCCTTCTGATCTTCTGGATGACACCTGCCTACAGGCTTTGTATCTTCATGATACCTACCCTGAACTAAAATAATTCATTATGTTTGACGCTGAAGTTCAGAAATTATATATAATCTCTAACCAATATGAAGTATCAATATATATCATGTTTATATGTTGATTATATATTTTAATAAAGTATATTAATAAAAAGTTGCTAGTACATTAAATATGCTTACTATAATGTGTATTATATAATAATTGTATTTTATATTTTGTGTATATAATGTATTATACATTAAATGTATTATATATTATTAAAACTGCCTTCACAGTTTGGGCAGCTGCTACTGCTCTTCCCTGAACCCCAGTTTATGGCTTTGCTCCTAATCCTAAGCAGTGATAAGAAGCTCCAGATCAGCTATGTTAAAGAACAAGTTTGATGCCATCATGAACTTCTTGATAGCCACACTCTTCAGATCAGAAAGTCCAGCCTGACAAGCATTAAGAACTGGGAACCAAACACTCCTGTCAAAAAGATCCAACTGGACTTGTTCACATAACCAAGTAAATCCAGAGCTGATCATACACAGAAAACACCAGAAATGTTTCCTTCCAATCATGATTTGACACTTCTGTCTTAAGGCTTCTTCCGAGGTTTTTTTAAGTTTCTAAAATAAAGAATTAGAGCCCAGGAACTCTAGAAACTTCACTAGGAATTTTGCTATCATTGTACGTAAAATGTGCATAGATGCTAAAGAAATTAGTAGCATGAGGAAACAACTTTTCAGTAGTTAATCACCATGACCATTTTAACTCCAACAGAAAGGACTGGATGTTACTTAGGCACAAGGACAAAACTTCTTACTCCTGCATTAAAATCAGCCACAGAATGCAAGCACGCAGTGGTTTGGAAACACACCTTCACAGTTTTTTGCCAGCATAATCCTTCACCAGCTTTTAATTAAGGTGCCACAGGTACTCACGAGCTAGGTATGTGGAAACCTTACAAGACTTTGAACCATTTTAAAGGAGAGTTTCTCTCTTCTTTCCCAAAATCTAATGCTGTTGGGAAGTGACCAGGAAAAACACCTTGAAGGTGTCCTTGAAGGCGCCCTTGAAGGCTCAACTAGCTCTGAAAACCAGTCAATGATCTACCTGGTAATATGAAAAAGCCCTGCTCGTACTAATGTTGCTTATTGACACCTTCATGAAGGACAGCAAGACACTGCAAACTACTACAGGAGCTTCCAACAAGATAGCACATACAGGCTGGCTGCAGCATCTTGAACATTTCTATCAATCCTCCAGCAGCTAAATAGCGGTAACACGTGCTGATCACAACACAGGCTGCCCAAGTTTTACAAGAGTTTGAAAAAATGCATCCAGTTCAGCCTTATGACATGGAATTATTACACTAAACTATGGGGCAAGATTAGAAGGATTATTGTAGTTCACGATGTATCAGGTTACTGGCCAAAAAGGGAACCAACAAAATTAAGCATACAGAGCGGTTACCACTGTGGTATGTGATGGCAGCAAGAACATCACTGTTTCCTGAAGTTCTGCCAAGGCTGATGAGGCAGTCACTGGTTTTGCTTGGGGACTTAACGAACTCACGTTTTCATTTTGTTAGGACTTACTTTGAGCCAGATGCTGATCTCATTATTGCAGTAGGAGAACAAGAAAAGCGATGCTGTACTTTGGATAAAAGCCCCAGTAGCAAGAATAAATAATAATAAAAAAAATATCTTGAAATCTCCACCAGAAGCCTGTCCCACCTCCCTTTTTAAACCAATGGAAGAAGAAATCTAAGACAAAACTGTAACACTTAATAATATCCTCAAGTATAAGTTCAAGAAGATGCAACTGCTGTGCCATATTCCTCCAAGCTACTGTAAAGACCACAGAAAACCTCTGCCAGTCACCAGTACTTAAGTGCTAGTCAATATTAAAAATACTGACTACAGAGTAAATGAACTCGAAACAACTTCAGTTTTCACAGTCTTTCATATCATGTAAGATTTCTCCGTTATCTCATTCTGGTTTAGTATTTTCTTATAAAACTCTCTGCCATGGAAATGGGCACGCTGTCATTACGTGATGAAGAGCAAACAATAGCTATCGCCATTACCCCTCAGCTACCTACTGAGGTAGACCAAAGGATCTCTTGGGCATACTTCTGACTGCAACACTCAGTGTTCCACATAGACACAGGCTTAAACCAGGATCAAGCAGAAGTTACGGTACAGCTTGCAATAGCTTTAGATAGGCTTGCATTACAGCTGCAACAGTGAAAGTGCATTTGGAGATAATGGTGATACAATCCTGACCTCCAACAAGGGAGTAAAAACTTTCAAAGTATGGGAACAGATGGCAGCTCTCCTACACCCCCCACCGCCACCCCCCCAAAAAAAAGGAGATTGAAGAGAAAGGATTACAAAAATAATGTATCCAGTAAGAGTAATTGATGCTAAATTTGCTCTAACACATAAGGGAAGCACAGGAACCCACCCCTTCAGTACACAGCTTCTTGACAAGAGCACTGCAGAAAGGAGGCAAGACTCTAGGAAAGCCATTCCTCAGGGACAGTCAACCGTGCTTAAAAGATGAAGACTGAAAAGCTAGTTGCCAGTCAATTAGAAAACATCTGGTTTTTTTTAAAAAGTAAAAACCCGCTGTCTAACTGCTCTCAGTCTCGCTAAAACTGCCATTTCAGGATACTCCTTGCCCCAGAAAAGTTTTGCAGGGGAAGGAGGAGCAAACAACTTGATTTTTTGCAGAACGCCCGCTATTCAGCGTACCCTGCAGTTCCTCCCTTTGACCAGAGCTGTCTGCTCTGACAAAGACAGAATGGAAGGCGAATCCAGGTGCTGTGACAAAAGGACCTTTTGTGAGAAACCAAACTTTAAACCTTTTTTCAACATCAGGATGCACTCAGACTAGGGGGAAAATAGGTATGGAAATAAATTACAGGCACCTGCCAGCATTATGATACTTGCCCAATATTACTGAAATAACACTAAAATAATTTATTCAGAGTTTTAAAGCTCCTACAAGTTTCCTCTACTGCTAGGCCACAAAATCCAAAATCCTTTGACCTCAATGATAACAAACAAGATTTGCTCTGCCCACATTCTGCATGAAATGGTAACACAAATCTAGCATTTTAATGCAATATGTATGTATCTTTAATATTAATACATTTACATATTTAAATTATCCTACTGCATTAACAATACTATAGCTACAATAATTGGTAAAAACAACTAGCATGGTTAAGTCTTCAAACTTTGGTATTGTTTTCTAGCAAGTGTAAAACAATAGAAAACAAAGTTTCCTTGTGAAGAATAAAGTATATTTTAACAGAAGCAGCTAAGACCTGCTGCAAAATACAGATCACGTATGTTGACATTTAGACAAAACCCTGCAGTAATAAAAGGTACTACCGATCACTATATTTACAAGAAACAGCCCAATAGTTCAGTTACCAATTGCACTATAGTCACTATTTTAAAAAAAAAAACAAACACCACAACACAGCATCCTTGTCTTGTCCTACAGAAATAATTAGTCCTTGAGAAGTGACCTTGTTTTAACTGTATGTGCTAGAAAATATACAACTCTACAACAGCAAGAAGTTAGAAAAGTTGAATACTGTGGAAAAAAATTTATTAGTCTATACAAGTCTTCTGAAACAAACCATTGGCTTTGATACAGTAAATTCAAGTGAATACTCATGGCAATAGTGTTTTTCCATACAGAGATCAAGAAGCCATATAGCTTCCCATTTAGTGTCCGTGACAGGAAGTTTTTATTTCTGAACAAGTAGCCGCACAAAGCAGACATGTGATAGAGATCTTCACAGCCACAGTGAGCTACAGTTTGAGATAAACTTTATTACAAACGTTTAGGAAAATTAGGCATCCGTTCTGAAGTGTGGCAAATGGATTCACAATGAAAGAACAAAAATGTCATTCAGACCCCTTGCCAATAATGAAGACTTTCTACAGCAAGTCTAGAGTAGACTGCATCATAAAAACCTAGAGTGCAAGAGTACCACAAATTTAGTATATAAATATCACAGAATTAAAACTCCAGT